TTCATTAAGCAGTGCATAATATCTTACCAACAATTTTAGAGTACTTCACAGTTCACAGAGTTCTTTTCACATAAAACATCTCATTTAGTTTCTCCAATAAAGCTATGAGTTAGATGTTAGTATTATATCCATGTTTCAAGGATGATAAATCTGAGTGACCTGATTTACCAGAGATCACACAACCAGTAGTGATGAATTAAGTCTGAAATCCAAGATTTCTGATTCTAAATCACAACGTAATTTTAAATTTTCTTAATTTCCAGGGGCATCATTATAACACCAGTTATTGTTCTACTTATACAGTGGTGCATTTGGAACATAATGAAGTTCAATGCAGATCACTCTTTGTTCAGTTGAGATCTAGATGAAGTGGTTAATCTGCTTTTAGAAGACAGGCTATAAGATAAATACATACCTTTAAATATTAGAATCAAACTCAATTCAGTGAGATGCTTATACTATGAGAATAAAGTAGAACCTGAGTCATCTGTAGGAAAAACAAACTTTAATCTCTCTTTGCCACTGATTCTGGAGCCACATGCTTATTGAGTAGGTTGGACAGATCCCCAGCAGTATTTAAATCAATCTCCATTCTCAACCTCAGTCTCAATCTCAATATTTCTCCCTCCCTCCCTTTCTCTCTCTCTGTCTCTCTCTCTCTCGCTCGCTCTCTCCCCCACCCACCTCCCGCACATATAGGTGATTTCCTGTATGTTAAATGACATATGATGAGACTTCACCATATGTTGAACTGTTATCTCCTCACTAAATGATCAAGATTACTACATTTCTTAGTTAAAAGCTTTTATGTTTATTGTCTTCTACCTATTATCTATTACTACTTTCTGTTATCAGCATGGCTACTTCTAGTTGCTCTAAATATTATGTCCTTGTGAAGTTACTGAAACTTCTCAGGGGAACCAAGAGACTAAGTATATTATTTTCTAGCCTTTCACAATTTTTAATTCTTAGTATTTAAGCTTCGATGTCAGGACTGAAAAATATCTTCCACGTGTCATGACCTTCAATGGTAGTTTTGCTTACTGATCAGTCATTTTTTGTTTGTTTTGGAGCTCAAGACTGATTGGTTAGTAAATAAAAAGAGTTTTATTCATTGATATACTAGTAAGTGTTTAACAACATACATTCTGGGTGAAAACATTAAAAGCCCTGATTTGACACGATGACAGACACAAAAGACATAAATAACCTCAAGAGCACAGATGTTAGTTAAATTAGGAAGCGATTAATTTTTAATATTTATTACCTTTGTTTTTAATAGTTTAATTTTAAATTTACATATTTTTTATTAATGATTGTTTTTAACAATTTGCAAAATTCCTGAAATGTGACATTATCTCTACTCCCATTTCCTTTCTTGCTTTATCCTTGTAAAATATTTAATAATATTTATAAAAGTATTTTAAATTTATACAAAAACCTCATTGTGCTATATACATCTTGTTGTTTTAGCTTTTCAAAAATGCATAACTGTGTTTTGAAGATCCATCCATGTTGCTGTATATACACCTAGTTTGTTGATTTTAACTACTGCATACCATTCCTTGGCATGCATCCATCATATTCAGTTATCCATTTCCTTAGCATACATACCCATATTGGCCTCAATTCCCCACAATGCAGAAACAAATTTTCTTGTACTTTCTTGTGCCCTTAGGAACCTGAGTGAAACTTCTCTGGCATATACTGATGTGGAAATATGATCAGTAGGGCTTTTTTGTTTGTTTTTTGATTAACATATGCCCACATTTCTGCTAGCAATGACCAGTTGCAGTGGAAGTTGTTGCTCTCTCCTTTACAAGTCTTTTTCTTCCCTTTGTTGCCGCCTAGACCCTGTAGGGACCTAAACTTTTTCTTTCCTTAGCTGCCAAATGGTCACTGTTGGGACCTGGTCTAGAAGATAAATGCTTCAAATACAGTATGGTTCAGAAATTATAAAAGCCTAATAAAATGATTGCACACTGGAAAAAATTACTTGGGATCTTTCAAGTGCTTTGTAAGAAATGGTATGTAATTCACATTGTAGTCAAGTTGAGAAGAGGAAAACTCAATTATCTCTTTATCTTCATTCAAGTAGCATTTTTATGTAAGTTCATTCAATTCAGAAATATTTACTGAACACCTATTAGTAGGAAGCATTGAATTTCATATGAAGAGAACACCATACAAGGAATAGAAGACTCAGTGCCTGCCCTCCAAAAGGCATACAGTCTAACTTTAAAGACACACACTGATAGGGTAGACTTGAAGAAGCACTTTTACAGAAAGTGCTTCTCTTCAGCATTTCCCAGGTCAAAATCTCAACAACCACAGAAAAGAAAAATAAACACACCCACACACACACATACATTCTCTACCTTTGGCCACATCCTTCTGTCAGGTCTTGACCACTTTTCACTTTGATTACCACATTAGTTTTCCAACTTGTGTCTCTGCTCCCTTTGGATAAAGCCTCCACACTGCAAAACACAAATTGTATCACATCACTCCTCTGCTCTGAACACTTCTATCTACTCACTGGTTTAGGAGAGAATCCAATAATCTAACATTACGAGAGCTTAATAAATTGCTGTTGGATCAGGCCTAGCAATTCCATACCGCTCCTTATCAACTCTGTAGTCCAGACAACCAAGACAAACTGCATTTTCTTGAAAATCCTTGATGCCTCTTGTCTCTGGGCCTTTGGACATGCTCTTCTGTCTGGAATGCCCTTTCTCTACTTGGCACTCAAATGTCACCTTTCTGAAAAATCCCTAGTCATCTTTCAACACCAATTCATATGTTAGCTTTTAGGGGTAACCTACTGATCTCTCCAGGCTGTTAAGCTGTTCCCCCAGTGTGACTTGTTGAAATCATTATTATTCCCTAAAAACTCTGCTGTAATTTATTTACATGTCTATTTTCTCCATAAGGCTGTGAATGCTTAGAAATTATTGTCTTCATTTTTGTAAGCTTATAATAACTGGCACAAAGACTGGCACAGAACAGCAGCTGAACATTTTTTTCTTGGATGAATGAATGAATGTTTTATTGAAATGATTAGCATTAAATTAATGATGAGCATTAAACCACAACATGTATATAAAATATTCCCATTGTTAGGTTGGATTCATTACCATCCCTGTCTACTCAATACTTCTTTTAAGAGTTTGTAGTTTCTCGCTCTTCCAACTCTGATTCTTCTGACTAGAAATGCAATTTCTGTTAATGTGTTCATTTTAACCAAATCCAACATCAGTAAAATTATTTGTATTCCTCACAACATAAGCATAGGAATTTACAGCTATATAAAGATGCTGCTATCAACCCTCCATAGGCACTGGTAGTTTGTAAGATTACTGCTACTGTATCTTAAACTAAAAATTTCAGTGACTTAATACAACAGGAGTGTTCTTGCTTATATGATGATTCAGTGTATGTGTTCCTGGCCATGCAGCTTTCTGATGTGTTATCACAGAAACCTAGGTTTTGTCCATCTAGTGGCTCTGCCATTCCTTGGCAGCTTTTCTCAGCTTGGGTTTCTCAGAAGAATTAAATCCTACTGAAAAACGATCTGAGGGACTATTTTCTTATTTTTTTCCAGGATGCTACATATCTAGCCCATCATAGATGCTTAGGTAACCTGTTAGGTATAATGGATACCTTAGGCTTTGGTCATGGACAATCAGCATCAGCATCATCTGGAAAACTGTTAAAAATGCAAATTCCTGGGTCCCACCCAAGATCTACTGAATCCAGAAGTCTGGGGCTGGATCCCAGCACACAGTGTTTTCATAAGGCCTCCAGGTGATTCTGTTGACCCTTAAGTATTAGAACCACAGCTCTAAGGCATTATGACTTAATTTCCCTCCACCCCAATCCATTGAGAAGGTTTGCCCTAGGACCTTATAGTCATCTGCTTCCAGTTAATGAGAAGGAGAAAAAGAGTGTAGAAACCTCGCCCATTTTTTTTTTAAAAGCCTCATCCCAGAACTGACAGACATCACTTCTGCTCACATTCTCCTGGCTATAAGTAATCATATGGCTGCACAATGTATGCAGGAGCCAGCTTCTATCAGCTCAGGAGGGCCTATTGTTAAATGTTCAGGAATTATGTGAGCCACTTGACATTATCTTGGTAATTTAAAATTGGCCATGGTGAGAGTATTTACACCACAGATACTCGCAAACACTACTGTCAGGGTTGTTGTTGTTTTTTTTGTTTGTTTGTTTGTTTTCCCAGAAAGCCAGTTGTTAAACATATGTGTACCAGCACACCGCTATGTACAGACTTAGATGACTCCATAGAGAGCTCTGCAGCTGAAATGTCCTTTCAGACTTGTCCTGCTTTGAGCCAAATTAGCTGGGTATTTATACCCTCACCTTGATCAGTCATTGAATGAGGGCTGCCCTGGAAAGGGCATGCCCTTGGACAAAGCAGCTTTCTGCAGCTGAGGCAGTCCCTGAAGGGACCGATAGCTGAAAAATGTCTACCGACATCATTTCCACCATCTGCGACAAGAGTCTTTCCTTGAAGGGGGCTCTGGGTGGGGTATTCCCATGTCCACCAAGCCTCTCCCTCCAAGAGATTCTGATAGAATTGATCTGGGGTGAGCCTAGGCATTAGGATTTTTTTAAAGTTCTCTGGATAATTCTAGCATGCAACAATAGATTCTATTGAAAAGAGTCAAGCCAGTTGTTAAGAGGGACTGTTTTTTTGTTGTTTTCTTTTCACTAATATTTGCACTGTACTTCCTTTAAATGAAGTTATGCCTGAAGGAAGAGTTTGTATGCAGGAAACAGTCAATACATATTTGCAGGATGGTTGGCTAAAACAATTATAATTCCTTTGAAAGGAATTCTACCTGGAAAAAATAACTTAGAAGTAAAACATAATAGAAATCCAAAAATATACTCACAAAATGAATTAATAATTTCATGAATTAAGTTATCATCAAGGTGTTAATCAAATAAGTAATGTGTATGCTTTTCTATTAAAGAGGAAGTTAGAAGATCTGAGCTCTGAGTGGAAGGCAGTAAACCACTTACTTCAAGAGTTGAGGGCAAAGCGGCCTGACCTAGCTCCTGGACTGACCACTATTGGAACCTGTAAGTATACTGGATCACATTATCTTTGTCCTTAGTTATTGCTCAAAAGCAGGACTCTGGGTGAAAGAGAAAATTTGTTTTGATTCTGAAGATCGAGATAAATCTTTGTGTTATTTACTGTGCAAAAGTCATAGAATAAGTTCCTTGTTCCTTGGAAATTGACTCTAATTCAAAGTGTTGCATGACAAATGTATACTAGGGAATGTTCTCTGGAGATAAACCTACAAAGACGAGAGCAGTGCAGGGGAGACAGTGGGAGAGGGTGAAATGATATGTCTGAAACAGAAGCCTCTGCCTGTCCCAAAGGAGCCCTAGAGTTGGGCTCACTCCGCAAAGTTGCCCTGAATTGCAGGGAGAAGGCCTGGCCTTTGTATTTTCTGTAGCAGAAGGCAATTGCTGGTCAGGAACACCATCAACAACCAATATTCCCAGCATCCAGGGATTGGTGTTTTGTCCCTGAAGAGGGGATCAGGGTGCAGCACCAGAGTATCCACTAACACTAAACACATGAGGATTCCATCTCCATGAATCCTGTATCATTTAGACAATATTTTTCAAGATGCCTGTAAAAACACAGAAACCACAGAAACAGTCCTCTTAGCACCTCTCTCTGTCCCAATTGTCCCAAAAAACAATTTTAAGAGCTCTTCCATTTTTTCTTCAAGAAAAAGAAAACCAACTGTGACTACCACAAGCTGACTTGGGGGAGGATTATTTCTTCATTTAGCTATAGTTTTAACTTTTGTTTTTACTGCATATTTTCAGTAAGTTTCATCTCATTTCCTACTCAGTTGTTGATAGAAGGTGTGTATAAATCCTCACGGCAATGTTAATGCTGACTTTGACTATCAGGGAAAAGAAGCCAGAAAACTTCTTTGCTCTACCAATTCTATAATTAGATATTTTTAATTAAAAACATCTTTGGGCTTTGTGTGCGTGTGCCTTGTCTACTTTTCAAAGATCAATTGATTGCAGTATTAAAGCATGACGACTTCAGGTAATAAACTTGATTTTTATAGTAGAAATATACTGAACTGGAAGGATCACAGCCAAAGTAGCACAACCATAATTCAATAGAAGGCATAAATAGTGCTTGGGTTAAAAGAGGCCATATAATCTGGGGACAGTGTATCTCATGTGCCCCCTGGGGTTTCTGAGCAGTCATCAGAGGTGTATTTAATGACACTGGAGACTTGAAAAAGATGTGCAAGCATTGTGTTTTGTTTTGTTTTTTTGTCAATCTGGGACACTAAAATTGCTATAGCAGGGTTTATATTCAACTAATTACATCAGGTTTATTTCTTTTTATGAGCTGTAATTTTTGGTTCCCTCAGCACATATGCATAGTTTGTCCCTACATAATCATTTATTGGTGTTTGTTCTCTAGCTGCCTCTAGTATATTCAGCCTCAGACTCTGTAACTGTTCATTAAGAGACTGTGTTCCAATAATTTTTTAAATAAGTTTGTTGAACTCTGACCTTAAGGGTTTATGCCCCCATTTAAGCCACTTTACACATGGTAGGAAGGTCCCAAAGCCAGGGCACAGAAATCTATTTAACATGAAATGCACTGAAATGTAATGATAAAATTTTCAGTAGAAAATACATTCAAAATTTTAGTTTTAATTTCCAGCAACGTATATAATTCATCCACTGAGTAAATATTTATTGAGTAACTTCTATGTACTGGGCATCATACTAGGTGCTGAGAATACAGCATAGAATAAGATAAAGTCCCTCCTTTCATGAAAAATATTCTAATTAGAAGAAAAAGATGATAAACTAATAAAGGAGAAAATATATGCCATCTCAGTAATTTTAAGAGCTACAGAGTGCAGTCTACAGACTGATGTCAAATAGGAGTGTGTTAGAAATGCAGAATCTTAGGCCCCACCCCAGACCCAGTGAATCACAGTCTACATCTTAATAGAATCCTCAGGTGACTGTATGCACAATGAAGTCTGGGAAACAGAGTGCCTTAGTCCCTTTAGTGTTGCTATTACGGAATACCTGAGGCTGGGTAACGATTTTATAGGCTAGGAGTTCCAAGAAACATGGTCGTGGTGTCTGGTGGGCTTCTGGTGAGGGCCTCGAGCTGTCGTAAGTGCTGCGTCATTACCCCGCAGAGAAAGGAAAGGGGAAGCGGACTCACCACAAGGGACCAAACACTAGGAGCTCCTTGCTTTAAAACCTACTCTCTCAGGATCTAATCCATTCCCGCCAAGTTAGTCCAGTCTCTCGAGAAAGAGCGAGAACCAGAGACCACCGGAAGAACAGCACCAGGCGGAGCTCCCAAGACCCAAACACCTCCCATTAGGCTCCACCTCTTAAAGGTCCCGCCCCCCAACATTGCTGCAGTGGGAATTAACGTTCCCACATGAGTTTTGACCCGAACACTTGAACCACAGCACACAGTTACAGAGAACAAAAAAGCAGGGAGCAGAGGTAAGGACATTATCATCTGTAGTATGGTCAGGGCAACTACTCTATTAAAGAGAACGTTTGAGAACGTCATAAAGCTGGAGTAAGTGAGGAAACGAGCCACGTATACATCAGGGGAAGGTATTCCAGGCAGAGAGAGAGAACCAGAGCAAATACGTTGAAGTAGGAGCGAGATGGAGGAATATTAAGGAGGCGAGAGAGACTACAGCAGAGGGCGAGGGCAAGGGCAGTGAAAGCAGTGAGAGATATACGTCCTTCATGTCTCCTGCCCTACTTCCTTCTATCTCCTGCCCGACTTCCTTCTCCCCCACGTGAGTTTCTCATCTCTCCCTACCACCCTTGCCCTTCCCCACTCTCTCCAAGGTGCTGCCAGTAGGGAGAGTCTGCATATGTCCTAAGCTCCAAGCTATTGGTGATAACTGGTAGAGGTGGGGCCAGAGATGGAGAAGAACTGAGGGAGAGAGGAATTTTCTCAAAAACAGGGGCTTTTCGTCCCCTTTAGCAAAGTGACACAGAACTGGGCATAAAGTCAAAATGTTAAATGCACAAATGTTGAATGAAAAAAATCAGTAGGGAGTCTGTTAGGTCCAGACTATAGTAGGTAGTCTGTTAGGTCCATGCAACATGGTGTTTAAACAGAAAAATTAAGAATTGTTTATATTCCTGACTTCCTGACTTACAAGAAATTAGTATGAAATAAATACAACATAAAAAAGAAAATCTAATTTGAAATATGGTTCTGATATATGATTATTATTTCATGTACTATATTACAATTCAATATCACTTATAATTCATAAGTTTTTTTTTCCATTGCACTCCTACTATTGTGTGCATAGCTTCTCTTTTATATGTATATATATATATATATGTTTTTATCTTCAAAATAATTGCAAAGTACATATGGTTATACAAAATTTTTTTTATGTAAAGGAACCCAAGGTTTAGTGGGGAAATAGCTAGATTAAGGCCACACAGCTGGAAAGAAAGAGAGCCAGGATTCCAATCCAAGTGTGTCAGGCTCCAAAGCCTGTGTTTTGTTTTATTTTGTTACCGTGCCTTGCACTCTCTCTCTGTCCAAGAACCTAATGGAAATATCAGATACAGAGGCAGCTAGCGAGTAGTTAATGTAATTTAATTCGATCTTGGAGGCACGAGGAGTAAAACTGATATATGTTACCATGTCTTTTCTACCTAAGGAGTAGAAGAAATCAGTTTACTCTATTTGGATATCTTAGAATCACAGAACTCTGAGCTCAAATTATTGTTGAAATTATCATCTGGTTGAATATTCTTCTTTTATATGTGTGGAAACTGAGGCCCAAAGTTACTTTTTTAAAAAACACTAAACCAAGCTCCTTCGTGGCTGCTTACTTACATTATATAATATAATGAGGCAGTCCTGCCTGAGCTGTATAAATTTTTTTCAATTTGTGGGACAAATGGGCATTCTGGAAAAAGTTTTGCAATTGTTGCTTGGATACCTGGAAGCATCAGTTATATGTTGTTGCATATAAGTACCCTAAAACTTAATGTATTAAAGCAAGAGTTATTTTCTTGCTCGTGATTCTGTGGGTCTGCAGTTTACACTGTGATTAGCTGGATAATTATTCTGATGGTCTTGCTTGGTGTTATTCATGTGGATGCAGTTACTGCGCAACTGAACAGGAGCTAGATTGTCCAAAATGGACTCACTCAGATATCTGGCAGCTGGCTGTTGGCTGGAGAACCTTAGTTCTTTATAAGACTTCTCATCCTCCAGTAGGCTAGACTAGGCTTCATTATATGGTGGTCTCAGGGCAGTGCTCCTAGAGGGGAAGGATGAAAGTTATAAGACCTCTTGATGCCAACACTTAGAAATTCGTAAAACAACACTTCTGTTACTGGTCAAAGCAATTCGAAAGGTCAGCCCAGATTCAGGGGTGGGAAAATGAGTTCATCTCTTGAAAGGAGGAGCTGAGATGTCACATTGCAAAGGGCGTGCATACTTGGGTAAAAAGCTTTACTGTAGCTGTCTTTATACAGTGGGTCAGATTTGGCCCTTACTGTGCTACCAATATTCCCTCAATTCTCATCATTCCTGTAAACGACATGTACCTGTAACTGCCTGGTGCTTTCTCTGGCCACAGGAGAAGCTCATCCACTTGCAGAGGAGAAAACATCCCTGGAATATCACTTAACCACCGACAGACAGAAGTTGGTGGATAAGTATCCCATATTCTTTACCCTTCCTTGTCTCCAGTGTGTTGACCCACAGTGATAACCTGCTTATTAGCATGCCTTGTATAGGCTTCTTTCCCATTCCTATTTATTTCCTTCCTCCTCTACCATGGCCTTCTGAAATCAGCTCCCAATTAAACTACTTGTACTTAAACCTTCACCTCAGGGTCTACTTGTGGGCAAACCTAGATTAATGCAACAGGTCTTAGAATTAGTGCTACAGTTATATCTTTTGAATAAGTCATGTTGTGATTCCCATTTTATATATGAGATAACTGAGGGTCAATGAGATTAGATAATTTGTCCAAGGTAAAGCTAGTAAGTGGCAGAATGGGTAT